CTCTGATGGACCGGCTGGGTCACAGCACACACTGTTAATTCTTGGCAAACACAATTAGAGAGGGCGTCCATTCCACCGCTGCTCCTCCGCTAGGCCACCAGCTTAATTGAGTTACTGTTAGTGATTTTCGCTGAATGCTGAGATGACATGCGAACAGATTGCTGGCTGCATAATTGGCCCAAAATTGGGAGACAGTGGCGAAGCAACTGACAAATCTACCTGCTGCTGCTGTCTATCAGTGCAGAGCTGCTGGAAAACCAACAGACAGAATGTAGTCCGGTGCATCAGCCTGCAAGGTGCGCTAGCTAATTGGACAAACACCATGCATTCGCTTAAAGGGATAGTTTGGCAAAACATGACGTCTGCCAGGTTTTCCCTTTTTAGCCGTAGCTGCAGTGGATCACTAATGTAGCTAATAAGGAATAGAAGCTAACACCCCACCAATTAGCCTGGTGCTAACTCCAAGCCTAAATCATCACCCTTTGATTTACGAATGCAGACAAACGTACAGATAAAGTTCAGCCGTGAGGACGAGGACGACTGCTACTGTTCATCTGACCAACATTGCAATTGTGAATTAAATGTGATTATGTTCTAAGAACGCCAGCTACACTCTTTGGGCTCTATGAAGTCTTAAAAATAAAAGGTGCTGGAAAGGGTTCTTTAGCTATCGAAGAACCGTTTTTGTTTCCTTACAGAACCTTTTAATGGAAGGTTCCTATTTGTGTAAATGAGATGTGTGAATGAGAAGAACTTTAAATTTCAAAACAACCTCCACATAATCGTCGCTGTTGGAACCTCAAATCTCCAAAAAACTTTACAGTAGAATACAGTAGAACATTTTTGAATTACAGTGGAACTTAATTTAAAAATTAGTCCATAAAATATTAGTCCATGCACGGTGACATTTTCACTTGGTATGAAAAACAGCAGGTGTTTACAAATAAATACCATTTATGGCAATTTTTATTTCCAACACTCCAGCCGTTTTATAATGAACAGACCAATAGAAATGCTCTAAAATCACTTGGAATGAAACATCTTTACATTTACTTACATAAAAATGTCAGAGTGTTTTTACTCTCTCCTGTAAAGTTACTATTGTGGAGATACTTGTTTTTCTTTGGACAGCGACGATATATATATATATATATTGCTGCTGTCGGAAGAAAACCTCATATCTCCATTTTTGTCGTTTTTTTCATTTTTACATAATTTGAAAATGCCTGTTAGTCTTTACATTGTGTGTAAATTTCATGAATAATGAACCAAAAGAAACGGCCCAAAATGACTTGGAAAAACATCTGGTTCCATTGACTTACATTAAAAGTACAGTATGTTTTTTCCTTCTCCTGTAAAGTTACCATTTTGGAGATATGAGGTTTCCTCCCGAAAACAGAGATATGTATATATAGCTGCTGTCAGAACAAATATCATAACAAATGCACAATTGCCTGTTGCCCTTTACATTGTGTGTACATTTCATGATGAAAAGCACAAAAAAATGGCCCAAAATTACTTATACATAAATACACACATATGCAAACGTTCTTTAATCTGTTGAAAAAGGTTCTTCAAACTCACAAACCTCTTTTTCAAACATGGTGCATTAAGAAGAAAATGTTTTTTTATGTCGTCAATCAAAGCCAAAGCCGTTTATGCCCAGGGGGAAAAAAATAAATGCCTAAATAAATAAATATTTTCTTTAAAGAATATCGTCTCCTTAAAATACCATATACAACAGGTTCTCCATCATGAAGAAGAACACTTTAACCACAAATACCGTTCAAGCACTCAAAAGGATCACTGAGTTGTGATCTGGGCTGAGGGATTTGGGGAAAATATCTAATATTGCAGTTGTGAATTATATGTGATTTTGTTCAAAGAATGCCAGCACATCACTTTTCAGGCTTGAAGTCTGAATGTTGAATTTAATTGCTAGATAGTATAACTGCAAGAGTGTGATGATTTAGGTCTTTGGGGTAAAGAGGGGGAGAGGGGTGTAAATTTGCTTTTTGTTGGTGAACATATCCTTCAGCAGCCTTTTTTTCTGCATGCACATGAAGAGTTCTATCCCCTTTGTGTGATTATCAAACAGTAATATAGCTATTGGACTGCAAAATATTTTAGTCTCGGTGTTGAATTGCCACCCCCAAACACAATTATGTAAGCAGCTTGGCTGTGATTGCCCAGAGACGGAGAGAAAAGAGTGCAGTGTGAGTGAGTGCTGTGTGCGGGAGTGTGTGGGAGTTGAGCGGTGGGCTCGGGGCCAGCCGGGGTCTAAAGCCTCACTGTGGAGGTGTTACACACTCTCCAATAACAAGCACACACACACACACACACACATCACATCACTGCTGCAGTACAGTGTGGGTGAAGGAGAAGAAAACTTACCACCGTCAGCGCCAAACTGTTCACTTTTCACTTTACAGCACTTTTATAGCACTTACATGCATAAAAAGCCCCCGAATAAAAAAATGAGCATGCATCATTTATTCTCTAGTACTTGGTTAAGCATGCAACTGCCTTAATCACAGCACTAATCCTGTTAGTTAAGGATTACACCCGGGGAGAACCCTCAAGGCCAGAGAAGACCCGGTAATTTATGGTGAAATTGAAAAAACTAAACAATAAAAATGCATGTCTGTGATTTTTAGTCCAGTTTTATTTAATACAATCATCATGGTTATTGTATTTAAATGTACTGGAATGTACTGCAGTAATACACTTATTTCATTGTTAATAAAAGGGTTAAATTCTTGAAACGCCCAGCAGAAATAGTTTTCTGTGGTATCTAGGTAGATAGAACCAAGCTGCTCTCCCATTGGTTAGGACTTAGGAGCTGGACTGAAGGCCTTAAACATTAGATTAACCACCAACATAATTAAGATGCGACAGATGAATCAACTAATCATGCTTTGATTTGCAACATGACTCTTGGCCTTTTGGAAGTTATAGATACTGAATATGAGCCACAGTCTAAGCAGGATCCAGTTGCCTGCTAGGAATGTAAAACAGCGGCGGCAGCTCTATGTCTGGACCCACTACTGAAAAAGTCATATTAAACTGATACAAGCTCAAATATATATTACAGTCTCTTACAAGCTGACAATAAAACATATGGAATGTCTTTTATAAGCTTCAATGGTCAAAAAAAAAGGATAACATGCACCAGAGCGACTTCCAACTTGAATTTTACACAGGTAGTTGAAGGCACTGTTAGGAGTCTTGCCCAAGGACTATTATTGGTACAGTGCAGCCCAGGCAGGGATTGAACCCCAATCTATAGCATAGAAGGCAGAGGTGTTACCCACTACATTATACCAACCACCCTCACCAGTTCCTGTCCTTTTTAGACCAATCTTCAACTAACTTTGCGCTTCATATCTGAGCAGAACACAACACTGACACTCCCACATTCCAGGATAAGAACTGTAGGGTGTCTCTATGTGACCTGTTCAACAGACTGTTCGACAGTCTAACTGACCAGCAGCATCACCAGACCTCAATCCCAAATCTCAACGTGGAGCAGCAGGTGAACAGCTGAAAAAGGAACACAGAAACCGAAATATGCACCCTGTTGGTGGAACAGTGGATAAGAACGGACAGGAAGCGGGCGCTGTAATCCTCACCTGACAGGACCGGAGCTGTTATTAAGGCAAGGGGATGTTTAACCCAGCATTAGAGAAGAAATGATGCTTGAGATTCATTTTGTGTGCTTTGTTTACAGCAGCTGAGCAGCATAATTTCCACCCAATTAACAGACAGTCTTAGTAAGTACAACATAGTGCAGACCAGCCAAGCCCAGCCCAACGGAAAACTATTAAAGCCATAGTTTTAAAAAATCCAACAATTCTACCCAACACTAGAGCTACAAGGCTAAAGTAGTGGAAGCTTATACCCCACCAATTAGCATGGCACCTAAATTATCACACACTTGCCTCAAACCATTTGGAGTTGTTGAGGCGTCTCAAACTGACTTGCTTAGGTTGTTTCTGACATCCTGTGATGAATAAACATGACCAAAGGACAGCATATAGCAAAAACAGCAGCTCTGTATAGATTTATGTGTTATTCTTGCATTTTATACTAGAAGCTTCTTCATGTCCCTGCTGAAAAACATAGAAACCATTAAGTGTGTCTGTTGGTTCCTGATGGTTTTGTAATGTTCTTGGCTTTTTTAATGGGACAGTATTACAATGTAAATGATCATAATGGTTTAACAGGTGACTAATTGCTGATTCTAAATGCATTTGATGGTTTCCTAACAGGGTTTTAGGTGGGTTTTAATCTAAATGGTTTCTCATGGTCCTTTTTCAGCAGGGCTATAAAGACAAAGGTACTCTAAATTTTGGCTGTATTAAATGGTTCATATGCAGTCATAGAAAACAAACTACAAGACAGAAGTGCCCAGCGCTCCAGCAAAGGCCAAGTCTAACGCAGAACAGTGCCAAACCCGCTTCTGCAGGATTTCTTGTCAGATGAGTTATGTAAGCCACAGGTATGAGTGGAGTGTGCAGTCCATGAGTCATTTTATTCAGACACTAAATTAGTGACAAGCAGTGAGGAAATGTCATACAGCGCTCTGTTAGCCAGCGGAGACTGGTGCTGTCAGCAAACAGGCCCATCCTGGGTGATATTCTTTTGTCTTATTTCATGTATTCATATTTACAGTCTTCTCCCACCTGTTCTCAGCATTTGTGTACATGTTTCAGTGCCGGACTGATGCGCCGTCATTCCTCTACTGGAGGCGAAGCTGTAGTGCAGCAGCATGGTCATAATTCAGCTTTGCTTTTCTTTCACGTCCACCTGAGCGCTGAAGTAGTTTGTAAACCACAGCTCAGCTCAGCCTCGGCATTTTAATTCTAAACAGATATTTCTGACGGAAGGAAGACGTTCCGTCCCCTGCTGACCTCTCTGACTCTGACAGCCCGTCGATTTGCATTTTCAATCTCAGTCTTGATTAGAACAGAACAGAGAAAGTAACCGTCATAACTTACTTGCCCAGTTCCTCGAACAGCTGGTATTCCTCTGTGAATCGGGTGCAGGTGATGGTGGCCATGCTGCTCCAGGTGCTTCGGGTCAGACTGTGTGAGCGTGTGTTGTTGTTGTTGTTGTTGTTTTTTTTCCTCCTCTTTTGTTTGAGCTGAGGATTGTGGCGGACGGAGCTGGAAGCGTCTGGGAGGGAAGGAGAGGACGACGGGAAGCCTGGCGTGAGGGGGGGGAAGAAAGAAAGAAAGAAAGAAAGAAAGAAAGAAAGAAAGACAGAATGGTTTCTATCTATCAGCCTGGTGGAGGTAAACGCGGTGGAAGTGCGAGTAGAGAGAGGAAACGGTGACTGACAGCTTTTCTCTTTTTATGGCTCACCCGCTCTGTCCGCGTCGGCCAATCACAGCCCGCACTGATGCTCCTGAATACACAGCCCCGTTGCCACGGCAACTGCATCCCTCCTCCTCCTCCTCCTCCTCCTCCTCCTCCTGCTCTCTGGGTAGGGCTCGGATGAACTAGTGCCACACGTTTACATCCAAAACAGTGAAATACACCCACACACCTTCACACAGGCAGCACAGCTACTGTAATATCCAACAACTGAACCAGCGCGGAACTGCGGAACAAACCCTGTTCTAGAGGATTCCACAGCAGATCCTTATCTTTACCTCTCTCAATAGTGGATTATCTCCATCTTTGTCACGGTGAAAATGATACCCCTCCCAAAACATAGCCTTAGCTGACCTGCCTTCGTTCCTTCATTTCTACTGTATCTCTCCCTGCAGAGCCTTTCTTTTATGAATCTGAACCAGAATCACTGTGTTTGGCCCAAATACAACTGCATGTTCAGAGAATCTGTCTTGGTCAAATTGATGCTTACCAATGCAGCACGACGTGGACATAAAATAAAGCTGATGGACATCACGATGACAATATGAGAGCTGATAAATTGTTATTAAAACCGCATTCTTCTGACTGCAGACACCCTGCGCTTCAGACCTACAGTGGAACCAACAAACCTCCTTACTGTATTACAGTAAAACTCCTCCTGCAACAGAATGCTTTTCACATCTGTACAGATGTAATTCTGAAGAAATTTATTCTGTAATATTCTGTATTTAATTGTTATCCAGTGCCTCCTCAGATCTGCACCTGTACAGATATCCGTGCATCTTTTTATCCCGTTTCATATTGACTCTTTATTATTGTTTCTTATTCTTTATTCTATTTAATGTATTTTTATCTTATTTGTCTCCTAGTTTAGAATGTTGTTCAGTATGTTACATACGCGTGCGCCCACCAAGATTATTTCCTTGTATGTGATGAAATTAAGCAATTCTGATTGACATTTTTTAAACAGAACTCAAACATCTCATTTAAGCAAACAGCACAATGCAAAATAACCCCAGCACCGTTCAGCACGGAGCACAATGAGCCCACGTTACAAACTGTCCTTACTCTGAAATCTCATCTGTTCAGTGGCTGAGACAACTTCAGTTACACAAAACGGTTCTTCAAAGGTTCTTTAGTAAAGAAAATGGTTCTGTATAGAACCATAAACACTGTAAGAACCCTTGGCATGATTACATGGTGCTTTTCATGGTGAAATGGTTCTTCAGATTGATGGAGAATGTGCTGTATATAGTTCTATATAGCACCAAAAAGGTTCTACAAGCTTGTTACAAACCCTTTTTGGTGCTGTATAGAACCCTTTTCTAAAAGGTTCTATATAGAACCATCTACAGCACATTCTCCATCAATCTGAAGCACCAGTTCCCCTTTAATCATGCAAATGGTTCTTTGAGTGTTTGTGGTTCTATATAGAACCATTTTCTTTACTAAAGAACCCTTAAAGAACCATCTTTTTATGAGTGTAACTAAAGTGTCTTGGTGACTGAAGAGATAAGATTTCAGACTTGGGACGTTTTGTAATACAGCAGTGCTTTTGTCTTCATGGTTATATAGAACCATTTTCTTTACTAAAGAACCCTTGAAGAACCATCTTTTTTAAGTGTGTGGGACTGAATTTAGGACTATTACAGAATAACAGTTCCTAACGTCATAATCTTATCATCGACTCCAGATTAGAAAACAGTATCACACAAACATCCTAACTGACCACACAGCATTTCCTAAATACCCTCCTACATTTAAACTCCTAAAAAGATGGTTCTTCAAGGGTTCTTTAGTGAAGACATGGTTCACAATGCAAAAAAAACATTTAATCATGCAAAGTGGGTGTAGAACAGTAGCTATTACAGAATAACAGGTCCTAACCTTATAATCTTATTCATTAACTCCAGATAAGAACAAACATCAGCAACATTTCCTAAATACCATCCTAAATTTATACTCCTAAAGAAGACGGTTCTTCAAGGGTTCTTTAGTAAAGACACGGTTCTATATAGAACCATGGACAGTCAAAGAATCAGCTGATTTATAAGAGGTGAGTGAGAAAACTTCCTTCTGGAAGTTCTAGACACGTTATTGACTGTAAATGTGAGCTGTAGTCTAAGCAGTTTCCGGTTAGTTGTTAGGAATGGAAAACAGCGGCGGCAGCTCTGTGTCAGAACTCTTTACTGAAAGAGTGACTGTAACACTGATCCATAAAACCATCTGCATGCTTAAATGGTTCTTTGCATGGTGAGGTTGTTCTTCTGATTGATGGAGAATGTCTTGTATATGGTTCCGTATTGAACCTTTGTGAAAATGATTGCTACAATGTCAAGCTTGTAACAACAGAAGAACCCTTTTTGGTGCTATATAAAACCATATACACCACATTCTCCATCATCTGAAGAAATATTTTACCATGCAAAGAACCCTTTAGGCATGCAAATGGTTCATTGAGTGTTCACAATTCTACATAGGTCCATTCTATAAAGAACCCTTAAAGAACCATCTTTTTAAGTGTGATAAACCGCAACAGCGTCCTGACTTGTGTTTTAACCTTCTGTGTCAGCTGTTAGCCGTTCTGTTGAAAAACGTTGAAGAACTTTTTTTAGGCGGCTGTGACAGGCAGCATAAATTTATTCATACCATAAATCTCCAGTTACAAAATCAGACAGACTTTCTATCTGCTTGTAAAAGATAAATGCACACAAAATGTGTACTTAACTGTGCATATTTTATCTATTTATTATGCACATATTTTGTACACCAGATAATACTTAAGCCACCTCCTGCTATCTGTTCCACTGAACATGTACAGCACTACACATTTATACCATCTACATATTTTTATTTATTTACAGTTATTTTTCTGTGAACTGGCTAATAAACTCCTGCATTATATTTGTACCTTGTATTTGTCTCTGTATTGTGTTTATTGATATGTCTACCCGATTAGGTCCTTCTTGATATTCACTCAAGATCCATGTTTTTGGAGTGTACAGCTTCAAATGTTCATGTTTAATCTAGAACAGAAAAAAAAATCAAAGTTGGATTAGTGCTAATATATTATGGGAAGTCCCATAGAGATGCTAGTAGAAATTAACATTATTATAGGGGTGTTTTTCCTTGTTTTTGAAATGCATGTCTGAACTGAAGGCCGAGCTGGAATAGCAACGGTTTGACACTTCATTAAGATTTCATTCTGTTCCCTTTATTCCCCCCTCCCCCACCCTGGGGGTCTGCGACTCACTCCAGTGAAGGGCATTGCATCTGTGTTGCTCTTCTTTCTCCCAGTGAAAGAGTGAAAGCCTTTCCACTATTAACGCTCAGACGGACACAGGGCACGTGGCTTTGGGTAACAGAGCGAGTGAGAGAGCAGTGCTGGGTTGGAAGATAATCTTAATCAGATTATCTGAAGAATTACGTTTTTGATCAATCAACATAAAAAAAAACAGTTTACGAAGTCTTAATTTACTGAGTGTCCATAAACTGCAGCAGCTGCGTCACTATCACTGATAATACTAGCTTTGGGAGAAAGAAGGGAAAGGGGGAGGGGCTTAATTAAAGCTAGATGGTTCAAACTTTATGAAACCAATTTAACCAATTATAAAACCAAATAAGCAGTTAGAATGGAAACTAATAAGATTAGGCTGCAGTTTAAGTGATCTGAAAGATTACATTACTGTTACAGAGGCAACCTCAAACCCTGCTGCTCATAACTGATTCTCCTGCTGCACACACTTAAAAAAGATGGATCTTTGAGGGTTCATTAGTACTGAAAATGGTTCTTCATAGAACCATGAACACTTAAAGAACCCTTAAATCATGAAAATGGTTATTTGAGTCTTCATAGGTCTATATAGAACCATAGTTCTAAAGAACCCTTGAAGAACCAGCTTTGTTAAGAGTGTGCTGCGATGTATGAGTGAGTGAAACTCTCGGAGCTCACTGAGCGTTTTCTTGCCATGATGGGGCGACAGGAGGTCTAACATCATATCACACATATATATCGCTGCTGTCCGAACAATACACACACACACACACACACACACACACACACACACACACATATATATACATATATATACATATATATACATGGACAATAGTATTGGGACACTTCCCTATTTCATTGAGTGTGCATCAGTGGTTTTGATGTGTCAGTTATGTGGGTATATTATTGCCTTTTGCCACATGCCATGTCACGACACACTCTGTTGAATTTACACCGTTGTAAATTCTAAAAAAAAAATTATATGAAAAAACAGCAAATAATTTTCCATGACGTCGCTGTTCACGATACAAATATGCTGCATAAAATTTGAGCAACCCCAACTTAAAACACCTTCCCGCATTGCTGTAAACATTATCACTGCAGGCAAAAGCATACTGCCACAGCAGGCACGAAACATGTTTGTGGTCTATTTATGTCTTACCTCTAAAGACTCGATGTGTTAATGTAATGTTAGATGTTTGCTTTGACATTGTTTTGCATTAATTTTCAGCTTTGGACGGGTAGAAAATGACATACTTTGAGGGGCAGGCACATGTAAATGTGCCCTGTTACATCGTTTAATGCAACTGGAGCTTCAAATTAAAAAACCTGCATGTGATAACAAACTAAAAGAAAAAAAAAACTGAACAAATTATTAAATATATATCACCATAAATCAGGTCAATATATCCAATTTCTTTAAGAAGACTTGAAAAAAATATCTAGAAATAAGTTTTAAAAAACTTATGATAGTAACTTTAATATTATATTTCCCCGAATGTTTTTTCTGTATTTTATTCCTGGACACACCATTAACAAATCATCAGTAAAACCATTAACGAATAATTACTAGATAAAACAATCCAGCTCACCTGAACAGATCTTCTCCCACATGATATTGTATGCAATAAAGGTTTCAGTTCAAGCATGTGGTC